CCTGGGATTCTTCTCCCAAGCACCGAGCTGATTTTATCAGCCCGTCCACTTGGCTCTGCTCAAGTGCTGAGCCTCAAAATCCACCCCCCACCAGCCTAAATGCAGTGGGGGGAAAAAAAGCCCCCTAGCCTTGGCCACAGGCAGCTCGGTTCAGTTATGCCCTGTCCCAAGCGTCCCGCAGCTGCAGGGGGGTGGGGAAAGAAGGCCTAGCCTCCTCCCTCTTACCTCAGGTGCTGTGAATCTCTTTCTTCACAGCACACACTCCAAATGCTGACCTAATTCTAGCCAAAGGCTGAGTTGGGGGGTCGCAAGGCTCCCCTCTCCCCCTCGGAGGGGAAGAGAGGGAGCCCAGCCACCCCCTGGCCTTGTCCACCTACACACAGCAGACACCAACAGCAAAAAACCAAGACTGCAATGCCAACCGTTTCCGGTGCTGTGATATATGATTTTTGAGCAGAAGCGAACAACATGAGTGGTGACTGGCTCTCCAGGGAACACTGCCCTGGCACCCAATCACCTCTGAGCCCCTCGAACTCTCAAGAGGGGCCAATTTCAAACTATGACACCAGGAAAGGCCTGGAAGTAAAAATGGGAGCCCAGCTGGCTCCAGTGAAGGAGCAAGCAGCACAGCAGGAAGAGTCCTGGAGCCACCAGCATTCACCCCAGAGCTCTCAGGACACTGCAGAGGTGCCAACTGACAACACCCTCCTCTCTATGCTGGACAGGTTCCTCCAGCAACAAAGGGAGTTGGAGTTCCCCCATCTCTGGGGAGCTCCCCAAAAATGGTTGTTGAGGACCAGGAAGAGGTTTCTGTTGGACAGCTCTTTGGGAAAAACTTATTTAAAGCAGAGGCTCCGCAGACTTATCTGAGCTGCTTAGCTTACTCCCACTTACTTAGCTGCTTACTCCCACTTGTGAGCAATACTCCATTACTCAGTAATTTCCCCCCCAGCCTTTACAATACAAGTTTCTGTTCAGGTAGTTGCAAAATAAGCAAGTTTCTGAATGCTTTGAGTTAGAGTAGTTCTCACATAAATAAGTTTTTGATAAGAGATGTTGAGCAAAGATGCTGCAAATACACTGCTCAAGTTCAACTTGATCTGGACAAGTTCAAGCTCCAAACAACCACCAGAGACCCCCGAGAGACCACCAGAAGACCTCTAGTGACCAAATAAGGACTTCTGAAGAACTTCGTACAGCTAGTTACATATACACTACTTGTCTCAGAAAGTTCACATATATGTAAGACATTTGATGAATATGGAAAATTGTAAGTAAATATTTCCCTACCTGAGGGAAAACAGGACACACGATTAGAAGAAAGATCCTCCCTGTGTGCCCAGATAAATAAATAATGCCTGCCCTAAAATGAGTCTTAGAAGATTTTACTTGTCAATTTACTGTAACACACTGGTCTGGTTATGACTGGGATAGGGCTCCTTTCTTCCCAGTAGCTTGCACACGCTGTCTTTGGATTCAGAATGGGAATGTTGTAGATCATACATGGGTGGTTGGGTTGTTGCTGAGCAGGGCTTACCCTCCTCAAGGACTTTGCACAGTCCCATGGGACAACCCATATTTCCCACTCACAAAGGTGGGATGAGCAAGCAGCTGAGTGGTGTTTCATGTTGTGGCCAGGATCAAACCCTGGACAGGGCTCAATGGGTGCGGGGGAATGGGGCTACAGCTGACTGGAAACCAGTCACTGCATTGGGAACCTTCCCAAAAGGGGCTGGTGACTCATTTCCAGAGGTTAAGCCCCACCTTCTCCATCTCTATCCCCCTCCATCCCCCTCACTGCCAAGGAAGGGCAGGGAGTGGCAGCAGGGGAAGGAGCAGGGCTGGAGTGAGGACAAGGGCCCAGGATCCTTGTTTTTCCCTTGGTTAATTCTTAACTGATTTGGGGTTTAATCCCTTACCTGGAGCTCTTGGCTTCTCCTCAGGGCTGTACACAGTAAAAATGACGCTCAGCACCCAGGGGGCGAAGCCAGCGTAGGGGGCAGTGGGTGAGATGAGTGCATGTGTGTGGGGGGGTCCCCTCTACCCCTGCCCAGGTACACCAGGGAGCAGGGACCTTCCAGGAGGACATTCAGGACCATCCTTGCCTGGGGAAGGGGTGCCAAGGAGATCCAGGAGGGATCGTGCCTGGGCAATGCCCAGCTACGAGTCCTTGGGGCCACCCCACTGTGATCTCTGCAGCCCCCCTGCTCTGCGGGAAGGAGCCGCAGGAGCCTAATGGCCCTTGATGGAATTTTCTTCCAGGAATCTGCTGAGGAGCTGTTTCCTTTGGCTTTATTTTTTTTTTCTTTTTTGGTTTCTGAGCTCCACAGCGTGGAGCTGGAAGGGAGCAGGAGGGAAGGGGAACCCACAGCTGGGGGGCATCTCATCTGGAGGGTCCTGTGCCCCCGGTACCCTGCTCTTCTCATCTCCCTTTCATGTAAGGGTGGGTTGGGACCGAGCATCTTTCCCCAGGGGTCACGGTGCCCTGGACCCCACCTTGAATGGGGAGGGCAGCACTGGACATCTCCCCCAACTCCCCCGCTATTGGCTGCCAGGGATGGAAGTTCTGGGAGACATGGAGGCTCCTGCGAGATGTGCTGACAGAGTCCTCATCCTGCTCCTCCACAGTTGGCTTGGGAGAGTGCCCGAGATGGGAACACCTCCCTTTGCTGCTGGAGGATCTTCTCTGGCACAAAGCAGACGGTGTTCCCAGCTGGCACTGCTGCAGCTTCATCAGAGCCATGGACTGGGCACCAGCAACTCCAGGACACTTACTGCTGTGTCACTGGGAATACTTTACTGGAATGGGATAACAGGATGCAGGTTTCCAGCCCTAGTCTAACCCAATACGTGGGCACAATGACAGGATGGCACAGCCACACTCTGCCGCTGGGAATGGGTCCTGCTCAGGGGCATGGGCGGCAGCAGGGCAGAGGAGGAGGGCCAGGAGGCAGGGCTGCTGCTAAGCTCAGCCTGACTCTCCCCTTGGCTTGCAGATGACCATCAAATGTGTGGCCCAGGAGAGCCTCTTCCAGTGGGGCGAGTTGGTGAGTCAGTGGGGCCACCCAGACAAACTAGGGCATCACATGCAGGGATAAGCCCCGGGCCAGGAGTGTGGAAGCTGTGACATAGCTTTGGGGGGAGCGGGCATGGGGTCACCCTGGGACCTGGAGCATCCTCGGTCCCGGGATGCCCAGCACCAGGGAGACTGGACAAGGCTGCACTGGAGCATCCCAGCCAGGGGGTACTGCAACCACTGGGCAGCAATAAACCCACTGGTGCCATTGTCTCCTCCCCACAGCCCGATGACACCCATGGACCGACCCACGGAGATTGTGCTCCTGGAGAAGCTGCCCCAGCATCACCCAGTTCCTCAACTGGCTTGAGCTGCCTGACAGCTTCCTGCTGGTGATGGAGCATCTGGAGCCAGCACAGGATCACTTTGACTTCCTTGTGGAGTGGGAGTTCCTGTGCAAGGACACGGCATGCTGGCTGTTCTGCCAGGTGTTGGTGGCCATGCTGTACTGCGCCCACTGCGGCGTCCTGCACCACGACATCAAGCTGGAGAACATCATCCTCCACCCGGACACCAGCAACCTCAAGCTCATCGACTTTGGTTTTGCCACCTTCCTCTGGGATGAGCCCTACACATGCTTTGCAGGAGAGCCCACAGCCGGGGCTGTGCTCTCACGCGCAGCCATTGCATGGCCCAGCCTGGCTGCTCACCACATCTTCCATCCTTGGCCGCTCTTTGCTGTGGGATTCAGCTGGCTGCCAGCTGCTCTTAGGCTCGGTACAGAGGCTGGGAAACAGGAGCCGGCTCCTGGCCCTCTCCACAGCCTCTGTCCCCCACCCTGCCCTGGACTGGGGCCAGAGGAGCCAACATGACAAAAACAAACCCCCGGGGGAGGGAGCAGAGGTGGGGGGGCTGCAAAACCTGTGCACCAGCCCCTTGGCTTTGCAGGTGCGGAAGGGCTTGGGCTGCTCCCCTTCCCTTCTTGGCCTTGTGTTAGGATTTCTTAGGTTTACTCACTTGGGTGGGACTGCAGGACGGTGTTGGGGGGGAGTTGCGGACAGCAGTGCAGCCTCTGCATCCAAGAGAATGCTCAGGTGAGGCTCTGGAAGCCAGCGGCAGCATCTGCCTGAACAATGCTGCCTGTATCCCATAGGAACACGGCAATACTGCCCACCGGAGTGGATCCACTTTGGCCACTACCGCGGCCACTCGGCGACCATCTGGTGCCTGGGAGTGCTGCTCTGTGTCATGGTGTGCAGGAACTTCCCCTTCGAGGAGGATGAAGACATCATGGCAGGGCAGCTTTGCTTCTGGCAGCAGGTCTCTTCAGATTGGTCTCAGGCTTTGGGAGATAGCCCCGCACACACCAGCAGCGTGCTCACACAGCTCCGCAGGAGCTTTGTCTCCCATCGGTGGCTGCAGGAGGTGGCCCATGACGGGGCTGATCTTGCACCAGTTGCTGAAGGAGCTGGTGCATGTCCTGTCATACCACTCTGCTCCACAGCGCAGTCAGCCAGGAGGCTTGTGCAGCACTGAGCACACGCGGCATGGCCTGGCACAAGGGGCACAGGAGCCTTCTCCAACTCACCACTGCTTTCTGCTTTCTCTCCCCAGAGTGCCAGCACCTGATCTGATGGTGTTTATCCAAGCACCCCTGGGACAGGCCATCGCTGGAAGAGATTTGCCACCACCCTTGGCTGTGGGGCAGGCATTTCCACAGCACCCTATTACAGCCCCCAAAAAATAAAACAACCCAAGACCCTTTCCCATGTGTCAAACTGAGTCATATTTAGCAGCTTCAGCTGAAAAAACATGTTTTTCAAAAGGGGAATCAGAGTCTTTCTTTCATAATTTTCAAGAATGGGCAGGCAAGGCTGGGCTCTGGGCACATGCTCATGGCATTGTAAGTCATCAGTATTGACTCCAAGAGAAACCGGAGTAGGAGTTATATTATGGTATGGAGGGAGTCTTGATAATTTTGCACCTTGTAGCCTACAGTTTTTTATCTCTGTGTGGAAGAAGTTGCATTTCCACCCAAGTCCTTTCTGGAAACTTTCCTATTCGAACACAGCATCACGGAATCCCAGTAGCACCTGCTGACCAGGAAGGTAGAGTTCTCCTTGTAGTTGTGTACCCTAATATGGTCTATTTTTTCATCCGAGGTTCCCCTTCTCAGCTTCAGCTTTGAGATGGGAAAAAGAACTGACTTTCTCTCCTGTCTTTCCTTCTCATTCACAATTGTTGAGATCCTGGGCTCACTGCCATGGTATTGGTCTCATTCTGCTCCCCAAAATATCTCCTTGTACCTTAAAGGCAGCTGATAGAGAGGGAAAGTGCAGTAACAGGTCTAGTTATGGCTAAGCACCCAGGTGCCAGCCCAGGCCCAGTGGTGAGGTGCCAGAACAAGCCTGTGCCACTTTCTGCCTACTGCCCTGTGCTCCCAAAATAAGGATTTGGTTTTTTTTCAGAGATGCATCTGCTTTTTCATTTTTCTTCCCTTTTTTGCGAGTTGCCGACCCGGAATGCCTATCCAAGCCTCTACCTGAAGGCTTGGCAGGAGCCACGATCCTTCCAGCCAGGACCCCACCCTCAGGGGATGGGGAGAGTCCTGAGTCCGACGTAAGCAGGAGGCTGAGCTGGGCATTATAATTTTCCCTTTTCGGGTAACTGCTAATTCACTAAAGCCATCACACGTTTCCCCCAGGAGCGGGAGGTCCCCAAGTCCCCACAGACTGCGCTGTCCCTCTCTGCCCACACCCAGCGCCATCGGGAGCTGGTGATCACCGCCCCCCACGCAGTGGGGGGACTTCTCCTCAGGGCAGAGGAGATGGAGTCGCTCTCAGGGCTACCAGGTCCCACATCACCCGGGAAGGTTGTGGGTGTTTGACACCTGTGGGTGTTTTCCCAGGTTATCCCCGTTTATTTAGGGGGTGACTGCTCCCACTCACGGCTTGTCCCGTAATGGCGGCTCCTCCCTCATCCTGGTTGTCATGAGGAGACATCGGAGCTCGGCTGGGGGCTGTAAGTATGACTTCCAAATGGCCCTGAATCCTTGAGGGGACCATGCCAGCAAAGTGGTGGCACTACTCCTTTCAAGGAGTTATAGAGAGCGAGAAGGTCTTTCCTCCAGGCTGAGCTCCCCCAGCTCCCTAAGCCGCTCCTCATCAGAATCGCGCTCCAGACCCTTCCCCAGGGGATCCCTTCCAGCTGCTGAGGCACAACTGCCGCAAAGTTTCGCCAGCAGAAAAGGCTTCTTGTCCCCGACCTTGGGGGATATACTGTGCGAAACTGAAAGAGTTTTTCCGTGTGGCTGCCCTGCAAAAGGGGAAGGAACCATTCTTCAGGCACAACCGAAGAAAGCTGGAAGCCGCTGATCTGCCCGCGCGAGCCGAAGCGGCGGCTCGTCAGAGACAGTTCCCTGCACGGCCGGGGGAGGTCAGACTCGAGTCTCCCGGACTCGCCCGCACGGCGCCGGTCCCGCCCCGCCCGGGCCGTGTGTGCCCGGCGCGGGCCCCGCCCCGGAGCCGTTCCCAGGAAGCGGGAGCAGGAAGCTGCGGCGGGCGCGGGGATGGCGGGCAGCGGCCCGGCGGTGAGCGGGGAGCCCGGGGACAGCGCCAGGCCGGGAGCGGGGTGGAGGGGCCGGCGCTGCCCGGGCGGTGGGTGCGGAGCGCGGCCGCCGAGGGCCGGAGCGGGACGGCCGTGCTGCCGCGGTGCTGCCGGGGGGTGTCTGGCGAGGGTTCCCGGCAACGAGCGGCCCGTGTCCTGCCCTGCCTGTGCCTCTTCTGTTCCATCGCGTGTGGTTTCAGGCTGTGTGGGTGGCACTGTGGCTCCCGAGCGCGTTTAAAGCCTTTCCCGAGGCCGTGGACTGTGATTTCTGGTGTGGCAGAACTGCTGTGTATGTGCCGTAGAACCCATAAATAATAATGGCTGATAAATACTTTGTTAACTGACAGTGTAAAGGCCATTGCCATGGACCTCATCGACCTCACATGCACAACAATCGCAGCACCCACGGGGATAAAGGTTTACCAGGACCATATCCCATTGTTGAAGACCCCAGCACCTGTGATATTGTCAAGGCTACACAGTAAGTACACATTCTGAGTGTGCCAAGTGGTGAAATAGATGGGAGTGTCCTCAAATGTGAGCCAGTCTGGATATTCTTACAAAGGAAACATTTTCAGTTTCATTTTCTCCCTGTAGTGGAAGAAGTTTTAATCATGCTCTGGGGCACATGGTCTGACTCTTGGGAATGGTCCTTGTGTAGGGCTAAGAGCTGGACTCGATGATCCTTGTGGGTCCCTTCCAACTCGACATATTCTGTGATTCTGTGAAGGAAAATCATTTACAGCTACTGTTGTAAATGTTTTTATCATAAACAAAGGTATTTCATTTCAAGCAAGTTTGTTAAGTAGAAGGTTTGTTAAGAGCCCAGCTCTTTTTGCAAGACTTCCATTGATTGCAATGTGGAATTTGTGCAAGTAGGAACTGCTGGGTTATGCTCACAGAGATTTATTCTTTCTTTAGTATGTGGCTGTCTCCAAACTGGAGGATATTTAACAAATGATAAATAAATTGATGGGTTTTTTTCTCATTCAAGATATGGAATGCTAGAGCGATGCAGAGAACTGGTAGAAGCAGGATATGATGTTCGACAACCAGACAAAGAAAATGTGACTCTTCTTCACTGGGCAGCAATAAACAACAGACAGGAGCTGGTTAAGTAAGTTCAAGAGTCCCTGTGAAAGTAACACAAGTATTCTGCCACTGTTACTTATAATCTCTTTGTTGCTTTTGTACTTGAAAACAAAGGAACCTGCTGCTTGAGAAGAAAAGCATGACATTCAAACTTTAACCCAATAACCTTTGTGGAAATGTCACTGCAATGTGAAGATAGCCTGGTTTCTTTATATGTGAAATCATGTAGTACATGAAATCATTTTCCTGGGTTTGGTTTGTTTAACAAACATGACAGCTGATTTTATAAGTACCTTGCTAATGACTGTATTTTTTCTCAAACATTTTCTTGAAAAGTGTCCTTTACTGCAAAAACTTTTGTCGATTTTCTTCTCTAGTGATTTTTTTTTTTATTGTAAGCTACTGCCACATTACTAGAGCTATGTTATCATTAGTATATATTTATTATATCTTATTATGTTCTTAATCTTATTGTGTTGTTATTACACAGATATTATATTTCCAAAGGTGCAATAGTGGATCAGCTGGGTGGAGATTTGAATTCTACTCCCCTTCACTGGGCCATTAGGTATGTTGCTTCCAAGTGTAAATCTGTTAATATTAAAAGCTATAGTAGCATTTTGTGTGGTACAAAGAACAGAGCACTGCTTGTCTGGAGAAAACATAACCTTAAATAATTATTCTGGGATAACTTCTCTGAGTGCCAGTTCTCACACTGGAAGATCAGTGCTTTCTTCTGGACTATCAGTCTTCTGCCAGAGTTGGATGCTTGGATGACTGCTTACAGGAGAGATTACTGTAGAATAACCACTGTATTCTAAATTAACAGTTTGCCCTAGGCTGATTTATTAAGGTGTATATTTAATATAAATTTCCTGATACAAACTTGTAGCTTAAGTATTTTCCTGAATAAAAGCATGAGAATCTGAAAGAAAATTGTTTTTTTGTGGGGTCTCTGGGAGAATTATTAGGGCAATGCTTTCATTAAAATACCCATTTTTTTCATCGTCTCTATAGTTTCATTTCATATATCGTTGTAGACAAGGACACCTACCCATGGTCATATTATTGTTGAAATGTGGAGCGGATCCCAGTCTTATTGATGGGGAAGGATTCAGTAGCATTCATTTAGCAGTGCTCTTCCAACACATGCCCATCATAGCTTACCTCATATCAAAAGGCCAGGTATGTTGGTGATGTCCCAGTTGTTGTGTTCTACTTGTGAGTAGCTGTCTGTGTGTAGGATACCTTTCAGAATTAGCTGGTTTGTTTTCTACATGAAAAGCAGGTATTCTATAACTTTTTTCTGTGTTATAAGTTCAGATAAACTTAGATTTTTTTAATATATATTTAAAAAACTTTTTTTTAATAGTCCTCCTTGTTCCTGTCATCCCCACATGTCCAGATTCACCTACATTTCAGAGTATTTAAAGAGCATTGCTAAGGCTATGCAGATTTGTGGTGCTGTGTAAATGACAACTGGCATTTACACATGAGAACAAAAGAACTAAACATTTAAACCTGAGAACAAAAAGTATATGATGGATATACGTCATGAAGTATTTATGATTTGATTACAGTTTTGTAACTAGTCATCCATGGAATTGTCCATCAAATGAAGTATGCAGAATAGATCATCAGACTAGGTCTGAATTTTTATTAATTTCTGTGTTTTCTTTAATTTTATATTGTATCCATGGTAGTTGATATCTCCCAACTTACATCTGAAATAATCAGAATTAATGGCAAGTGTAACAGTTTTCTAATAAAAATGAGAGAAGAGTTCTTATTTGATCAAGTCTGTTTCTTAGAAACATTGAGTGTTAGGATTTAAGTTTATTTTCTTTCTTATAGAGTTCTCTTTGGTAGAATAACTGCCTTCTGGAGTGTAGGTATAGTGATGTGTATCACAGACTTAATAAAGCTGTTAGTTCACCTATCTTCAGCTGAAAAAATCCAAGTATTTAATAATTTCTTTTAAGTAAATCTGTTCTAATGTAATGATAGGTGGAAGCAGGGAACGAGGAAACCTTCATTGTTAAGAAGGAAGAAAATTAGGTAATACAAGTGAAGTGTTTATGTTTTGAGATACGTAATCAACCAATCTTTTCTTGTTTTAATAAACCTGTTTTATGTACTTGGACATTCTGTTATGTATTCTGTTTACACAAGGAAGATGGTTAACATGATTCACTTGGAAATATCCTTTGTGGAGACTCTCCCTTAAAAGTGTCCTTAGTAGAAACTCAGAATATTCTGGAAGGAACGACGTGCAAGACTTATAGAGGGAAGAAAAATGTTTAAAGAAGTGTTGGCTTCTTGGCTTATGTAATTTGGTTTCTTTCCATTTTCTTTTCATTCGTGAAGCTAAGCCAATTGTATAACTCCAAATCTGACTACCTCACTGTTTCCTGAAATTACTGGTAATCACTTGCTTGTTGTTTTTTTCTTATTCTTAGAACATAGACACAACAGACTTCAGTGGACAAACACCTTTAATGTTAACAGCACAAAAAGCCATTGGGTAAGTAGTGAATAACTGAGAAGGGTTTATTTTATTGTACCCAAGAAGCAGTGAGGTGAATTTTTTCTTACAATTCTTTTTTTCAACTGACATTCCTTTCACTTTCATTTGTACTAAAATATCCAGTATTTCAGAGATCAGGAGTTAGGAAGTAGCTCGTTGGATATAGCAAAGTCAAAAGAATTTCCAGAAGAAGTTTAGGTTTGTGGCTGAATCATCTGCAGCCGTACTGTGCTTTCCCCAAAATGAAAATAAATGGAAGCGGACACAGTGAAATGCATTTAGAACAAATTAAATGTGGAGATATAAGCTTACACATGGTGTTGTAGAAGATACAATCTGTGTTATAGACCTCATATTTGTTAAAAAGGTAAAATTACATAATCTGGAGAAAAACCTTCAAGGTGGGTCCTGAATTCTAAACTTGGAACTCTTGTTGATGAACTTGTTCTGAGACGAGGTGTTGCATATCTCCTTTTTTTTTTACTGATTTTTTTATAGGGCATTCAAAAGTTTCATTTCCAGCTTAGATTCTCTTCTGTTCGTTAACTGTTATACTTTATTTTCATCTAGACCGGAACCCACGAGGTTTCTCTTAAAGTTTAACCCCTCTCTCAATGCTGTAGACAATGTTCAAAAGAATACTGCACTGCACTGGGCAATATCATCAGGAAATATCAGTGCAGTGGATCTGTTGCTGGAAGCTGGTGCCAGCCTCGACATAAAAAATGTCAAGGTATAGTTTCTTTCATGATATTTCATCCCATGTGGCATAAATGTGTAAAATAAATGTAAAGAAAAATCTGAGCCCTCTTCACATTGGATGTCAATTGCAACAGGAGTTGACTAAGAGCAGATGTTCTTAGACTTCCTGGAAAGGACTTAGCGCCTTCCTTGAGGTGTGACTCAAAGAATGCAGAGGTTCTTTGCAACATTTCTTTAATGAACAGCCAAGCCTTGTGTTCCCTCAGCATCGTTTCATTTTCTTGGGGGTTTGTTTCGTTTCTTCATTTCTTGATTTAGCTGCTTTCTACTTCAGAACGTTGTCATGGAGACTAATGACCTTTGGCAGATTTTAAAAAGTAACAGTTCCTTAGTGTCCAGTCAGACTCACAAAGACTTCAAAATACATGTGAAAGCTAGTGTTTGGCAATGCCCGTGTTGGTCACATATGAAAGTCTTCCTCTTAATATTTGTAAAAACTGATAGTGAGAAGTATAAAGGTTGAAAGTATCAACTCTTATGACTATGTAAATATGTTACTGGAGGCAGTCCAGCAGATAACTCAAATGGGTGCAATCTGTTTGCCAGTGTCAGTTTTCAGAATTGCAAAGCACTGAATTAAGCATATTAAAACCCTGAGTTTAGCTTACTTTGCCTTAAAGAATAAGGGGGGGGGAGGTGGGGCTGGGAAGTAACTGCCCAGTTATTCTTGTTTTAACTATATTAATTTCTTGCTTCTGTTAAAAAGGAAAGTATTTATGTGTTAAGTGCATAAATAAATAACTTCTGTTCTTAAAGGGAGAGACACCGCTTGACCTTGCTTATCAAAGTCAGAATCACTTCATGGTTTATATGATGAAAGAGGAAGGAAGAATGAGAAGCAGGAAAAATAACAGGTTGCTGAAAATAGTAGAGAAATATGAGGTAATTTCCCAAGTGATAACTAATGGAAATAAAACTACAGCATGCTGTGTTTAGAGTGATATGCAAATTAACTCTATTCTAACAAGCAACTTCTGAGATTTCTGAAATTGAATGCACAAAAAATATTCTTTAAAAGCACATAGCAGTGTTTCGAGTGGGGTTCTTTTGTGTCATTCCTCCTCCCCTGCTTTCGATGTGTTGATGTGTCACCTTGTCTTCTCTATCTTGAGTCTTTCAGCATCTGTTATTACATGAAGTGAATACTTTTAAGTAAGTCTGATTGAATACTTTAACAATAATACAGTAACAATAAAACAATAACTTGAATATTTTCACAATAATAATTTTAACAGCTCTTCTTGATGTTGGCATCTTCCTTGACGTTCATGTGGGCCATAGGATACGTCGTGAACTTAAGTTCTGATTCCTGGCTTTTGAAAGGATGTTTGCTTCTCTGCCTGCTATTTGGAATGACACTGTTTGTCAGGTTTGTGGCTTTTTTCTCTCTGTATGTGTATTTAATTGTCAGAGACATGATATATTTTCAAAGATTAGTTTCACATAGCTTAGAAGATACGTCCCAAAAAATGGTTGCAGAGTATGTGAAGAATTTAAATATATGTACTTTTTAGAATGAATGACCATAGAAATTGAATGTCTTTAGGTGTACACAATAGTAGTTTCCTGTCACGGAAAGATTAAAAAACCCCAAACAGTCTGTTAGCTAATTTTAATGTTAAAGAGTGTTATTGATGGTTTGCATCTGGCAGACACTGAGATATCTATTCACAGTGCTCAGAAATGTGTTTTATCACAACTTTTTCCTGCTATATTTTGGCAGAGAATAGGTTTTAGTGAGCCATTCCCTCTCCTTCTGCCTCCCCAGAGCTCCCAGTGTTATCCTGAGCTGGTTTGTACTTTTCCTGCTTTCTCCAACAGTTCCTGCAACAGTCAGTATTCACTGATGTGGCAAAGCTGTCTGTGTGCAAATAGACAGAGACTGTACTTCTCACCCAGTGCTACAACACTTCTCATATATAATCTTAGGCTGGAACAGAGCACTTAGTAGGTCTGTTTTTGCGTTGATAACCCCCCGTCCGTCTGGATAAAGAATCCTTTTGAGTGACAGTTCTTGATTGCTTTGAGAGACTTAAAATATACCATGTGCGTGAAGTTTTTACAATAACAAACCAGATGATTTATATTCTATGGACTTGTGTTTTGAAAAATATTATTTTTTAATTTTAATATTCTTTCAGGCAACTCGTGGGGCTCAAGAATCTAAGGTATCTTCCCACAGCATTTCTGCTAAGTTCAGTTTTTTGGATGTCCATGACCTGGTTTTTCTGGTTCCTGCCTGATATCCTTTATACTGAGGAAATGCAATAGAACTGTCCCTATAGTTCCTTGTAAATCTAAACCTGGTCATGCAAACTAATGAGCAGTTCCAGATAATTCCACATGACTGTTAATGTCTGGTAAGATTGGTTTACTTCCATTGGAGAGGGGCAAAGTAACTTTGACTTTAATTTAAAGTTATATATGGACTAAGAATGTGTACCTTCTTTTGTCTTTAGCAGATTTTTGTTTTTTTATAATCTGAACTATTTCATATGTTATTGGAAAATCAAAATGAAGATGTCAGTTATAAATCCAGTTGTTTCTGTTAGCATCTCCATGTGACTTCTTAATCTTCCTCATTGAGCCTCTCATACAGTATGTATTTTGGCATGTGGTATAACTGGATAACACATGCATTAATAATAATTTTAAAAGCAACTGGTCTTTCTAAAATGACAAGGATTTGACAGTGGTGTTCATGCTTCTGCCTTTAAAAACAACACTCTCCACACACACCCCTAAAAAGGATCAAATTTCTTTGTGTTCCTGTAAAATAGATCATCCAGTCTCCTGGTTGTCTTTATTCACTCTGAATCCTTAGTATACAGTGGATTCATTTCTACCTCTCATTTGCTTTCTCTGAAGAGGCTTTTCACTGTTGAATACAAAAACATTTTAGTAGTTTGCACTCTTTTCAGTGCCTTGTTCTTTTGTTACACAGGGGGCATGTACTTATTGGTAAAGTTTTGTGGGAAGGCATTTAGGAAGATACTTAGAACTGTAAATAATTTTGTACTAAACCAGCTATAATATATTGCTACACAGTTTTAATTAATTTTTAGTTCAGCCTTTAAATGGCATTTTCTTTTGTACTGTTCCCAATTAAGATGTCCATAATAGAATTACCAGGATTAACTTCGATGAACTGATCAAGTATATTCCCGCTGGGGATACACACATGGTTGTCTAAATGAAAATTGTGTTATTCAGTGCTGTGTTGTGAAGTTTTAAGGTTTTCTTGGTGTCATCTAAATTAAAAGGGGAAAAAAATAATTCCAGTGATAGGGATTTGAGTCAGGCACTTTGCTGAAGATAGTAAGCACAGCAGTGTCCTTGAAGGTCTAACCATAGCTTGGTGAGGTGGGTCAGTGGACAGTTTTCCATTTCACTATCCAACCCTTTTTCTTGTTAATGTGTTTTCCTTCTGAAACTGGTCACAGATCTGAATATTATAAAAGTTTTCAGGATTTTAGTTACCTGTATTTGTCTGTCAAACTGTTCCTCTGGACTGAATGAAAATCCAGAATTTCAATTAGCTCCAAAAAACCAATAGCATTGCAAATAGACCAGCAGTATCCACAAGAAATGTGCCATCATTTGACTTCTGCAACTGCACCCTGCAATTGCATTGTAACAAGCAGCTGGTAATATATGGTGCCAATATTTCATGATTTATCGTCTTGATTTTAATTAGAACTGTTTCCAGTGGCATTAGTTCATAAGACAAAGCAACCTGGAGGTTGCAGCGCTGGATTTTTAAGGGTTATTTGCAGTACAGTTTGTAGAGTGACAGGGGTCACTGGAGATGCCTTTCAGGCTTGGGCTCTCTGCCTGCTCCTTGGGAGCATCAGGGACTGTTCTTAGCAGCCCGAGTTCTCAAGCTGGGTGCATGAATTTAATTGGTAAGAAACTTGTCCCACTCCACATTCCCGTGTTGCTGTATAGAGACAGTTAATCTTGGCATGTTTTTCTCCCCCTTTTGCCTGATGGTTGTAGTCCATAGTATAAAAGTTATGTTCCTAATGTCCTTCAGAAGTATTTAGCAGTGTGTGCTTGGGTTTTTTTGAGTGACAAAAATAGTTTCAGGATGGCTTTATTACATTCTTCTGACTGAGTATATTCAACTGCTTTTGGCTGAAATGAACAGAAGGTAAGGCTGAGTGTTTGATGACTTAGGGGTGTGTGCAGCAGTCAAACAAATCTCAAAGCTGCTGGAAGCTTTATAACTGCATGTCTGACTAGTTGTTTAAATAAAATAGAGAAGCTTCGGAGGGAAAAAAGAAATCAAATTCATTTTGTATCTGTTGAACATTGAAAGGCAAAAGTCTGCACTCTGGTAGGGAGGATGACAGGGAGCCATATTGTGATTCAGATTTATACAGTTGTAAAAATCTTCTCCAGCACTTAAACTGGACAGATACTCAACTTCTCTGATATGATGGCCTCTGAAGGACAGAGAAGATCCAGCTATAAGGGTGAAGATAATTTTTTCTTTTTTGCGTGTTGCTTGTAAAATAACATAAACTAATTTTAGAATATTTTGTTTGTTTGACAAAGAGTGGTGATACGTGGTATAAGAATATATTCCTTAACCTGACAGTTACATATAACAAATATAATTCTTGAAATCACTGTCATGTTCAGCATGATGGGTCTTCTTTATTACTTCTATAAAACTTGGAGTACTGATCCTGGATATATAAAGACTTCAGAAGAAGAAAGAAAAGAGGTAGGTGATTTTGGCAAATGGAAGGGCTGTAACCTAGTGCAATATGTATGTACTTCTGGTTGATTTGTTTGGCATTATGTGCAGCTTTGGTAAACTTGAGAGCAGTGCGATATTCTTCCTTTAAGAGTTTTTAGCGAGAGAATTTCTCCTCCTACTGCTTGTTTCCTTATCTTCATCATCCTGCTACGATTTCTGTGCCTCTATCTTTTTCATTGAAGTATGAGCTTGGCCAAACATCTTACAGACCTGCTAATGTTATCTGTGATATAAATTCACATAGAACTTCACTTAAAAATAGAAATTCTGTATGGTTTCTGCTCCAGTTGTTTGTGGCTAAAAAGAGAGATGAGCATGGAGAACTGTAGGAGAGCAGTGTGAATAAGTCATACCTCTCCTCATCTCCCTGAAGTCTGGCTGACTGTATGAGAGTTGTCTTGTATGTAAACACCATCTCACTTTAAAGAATATTTAATTCACGTTATTTACTAATTTTGGCAACATAGAGATACTTTTCTGTGTAATCTTGTGTTGGTGAAGCTGCATTAGTTTTTACTGGTTTGCGTTTTCTTGTGGACCTTTTTAAATAGGAAGTTCTGTCAGTGCTTGGCACTCAAAATACTTACAAACGGCAAAAGTCACAATGTAAAAAGCTTCACAGCACCTATGAAAATGTGATCCAAATGCAAGCCCAAAATGCTTTGTCTTTCAGAACATTGTAGGTCTTGCAGAAGCAGGTTGCTTGGACTTCAGAACATTCTGCACATCGTGTCTTGTAAGTGGGCCTTTGGTATTTTTTTTTTTGTGAACCTGCATTATACTCAGTGCTGCTATAAAAAGCATTTTCCTCTCTGTTTGTCATTTGAATGTTACACGAGGGGTTTTTTCTATATTGTTTGGATTTCTTTATATCTTTTACAGTGACAAGAGATGATATGAGATGATTGGACTGTAATCTTAAAAAAAAACCAAACAACTATTTCCATCTCTTTTTTAATGTAAAATTAAGATGTATGGCTCTCATCTGTGTTCTGTTGTGAGGTCTGTTACACAGTAATTGTGCAAAATGTGCCCAACCTATAAGATGATGCTTTAAACTTTGAGCAAAACAGATGCTTCGGCTATGAGTGTATCCTTTTCCTTCATCCTCAACTAGGTAAGGAAGCCTTTGAGATCTGTGCATTGCCTTGCTTGCCAAGCATGTGTAGCCAGATATGATCAACATTCTCTGTGGACTGGACAGTGCATAGGTGAGAGTGTGTGTTTTATCAAATTTGCAAATGCCACATATTTTAAAAGTTGCAGAAGTAACATTTATCTCCTTAAAGAGGGAGAGCTCACATGATACAAGAATATGCAGTTGATACTGAAGGGCTCTGGTAGGTGCCAGAGGGAAATTAGTTAGATGGAAGAGAGAAAGTCTATTAAAGGGATAGAGTAGTCACTGTAAGAGTAGAAACCACAAAGTCTGGAACTCTTTCTTTTGAAAGAAGAAGGAACAGGGGATATGATTGAGATGTTAAGAAAGAAAGAGAAAAAATATGAAGATGGTGGCTAAAGTGAATGCAGAACTCTTACTCAACAAGCACATCATACTAAAACTAGGGATTTAAAATTAGTCCTGTCTTTACATGGCAGGCAGTGAAATTTTGGAGCTTGCTGCTGTAAGGGTTTGCAGATACAGGCAGTGTCAGAAGGTTCAGAAAGGGGTTAGACTGACTTTTTGGACAATGTGTCCAAAAGTAGATACTAAAAGAACTAGACAAGTGTGCGCACACTGACATTTTAAAGCAGTAGCTGTGGATGAGGAGAGTGAACTCCAGAAATTGGCCAGGCTTGGGTGTCCTCCCAACCTTCCATTGCCTCCTTCACTGTTAGAGACAGTTGTGAGAGGAGCAGTTGGACCCCTGAGATAACCCCGCAGGGCATTATTCGTGCTCTTGTGTTCTTTCTTCTTGCCGTCTTTCTTCCTTCCTGGCTCATTACTGGTGATGCTCAAGATATTAAGGTCAGACCTTTTCATCTGTAACAATATATTTTTAGCTTTTTTTTTTTTTTCCAGTAGCTTTTTTTTGTAATATTAAATCCTTGGAAATATTTTTATGGTGTTTGCTATTTACAAGGTGGTAGGACATCCTTCTGATGCATTGTCTGGAGGCTCTGAGCAATATGATTGTAATTTAAATAAAGATATTTTTATATCTTCATGTAACAGTTTCTCTGACAGAGGTCTGGGGTGGTTTTGTGTATGTTTGCAATTTTGAAGCACACGAGGTCAAACAATCAAATTGAATAGCTTAGACTTTTCAGCAATATGAGACAATTTTACTGTGCATGGAGGAGAGTTGTGGTTGCATAATTAATCCTCATCTAGCTAAAGCAGCTGAAGGCATGCTCTGAAGAAGACACAAATCCTGGTTGACTTTATCAAAACTAATTCTATTGTATAAATTGGAGTGGCTTACAGGAGAAAGTTGAGAGAGAGATCAGCCTTGTCAAGCTCTCTTGTGGATGGCAGAGGTAATAACAAGAAATGGTTTTGACTTGCTTTTTATTCCTATTTAACTTCAGGGGAAATGCAAATACTGCTGAATTTTGAATTGTCAAACTTTTTTTTTTTATTTTTTTCCTTGCCTTAATTTCAGGTATTGGGAACCATTGTTATTACCTGTTGTTCCTGACTTTCCTAACAATGACAGGTGTCTGGCTGCTCTATGGAACTCTTCTGTGTATGTATCCATGAATTTATTTTACTTTACTTTTCAAGTACATGTGTGTCTGGTCTTTATTTTTCAGCATTTTGTTTCCAGCAAGTGTAACTATACCTGCACAAGTGATGCCATATTTCAGCAGTGACACTACTGTGTAAATAAGTGACAATACATCATGTCTGAGTCTTTGCTCAAATATCATAGTTCTTGCTCAACACAAACATAATAAGATACAACTCTAGTGGGATGTCCATTGGAAAATGAAATAGCAGGAAGAATTTTTGTTAGAGGTGAAATAGAGAAGCCACGTGGAGGAAGGTTACAGGTTCTAAGCTGGATGCCCTTTACTGTAATAGAAAATAAGTTTGTAAATACATTATTACAAAAGCTTTATTGGAAATATCTGTATTGAATACCTGGAAGCATTTCTTTTTGGTTTTAATGTAGTCATAACTTTGAAGAGAAGAGAACTGTATATCTCATTAACAGATCTGAACTGTTACTTTTAAAAATTAGGAAATTTCTTAGAGGGGAGAGGAGAAACATTAAAATGTAATTCCTGAGGGTGAATTACCACAGCACTAACCTTTTAAATAAAAAAGCAGAGGGAGTTAATTTTATTTCATATTGCTTCACATTATGTTGATATGAGGCAATATGCAACATAAAGTGCAATGAACCAGCCATGGCAGTGGAGGACACAGGTCACTTGTGTGAACATGAGTTAGTTGTTTCCTGTGTTTGGGTGGGGATCTTATGTATGAAAAAAGCATGTTATTTTCTCCATTTCCTGTATGTGAAGGAATGTGGGAAGAAAACCTCTTTATTGCTCTACTGATACAGAGAAAAAAAAAAGTTACTTTCCTTGTAGTTTGCGGGTTTTTCTAATAAATTAAATATGTATGTGTTAGATTTAATTAGCTTGTAAGAAATTTGCAGGAATTGGACATCCCAGTTTACGTCTGTTTGATAGTGGTAGAATACTGCTTTCTTGGAATTGTCACCATCAAGTCTCCTTTTGTTGATGATGGTGTTTAAGAGAAATGATAAATTCTTGTCCTAAAAGTTACAAATAAGCACAAAGCAAAATTCCAGAAGTCTTGACAATGGGAGATTTTGACACTTCAATATAATGTAAAAAGTGCTTAGGCAGTGCCTTGAATGTTCTTTCTGTGGATTATGAACTCAGAATGTAAAGATTATGCAGCCAGAATAACAAGCAGTCATGTATCTATGTGGGTGCTTTTAAGTGGGAATGGGATATATTAAACACGGTATTTCTAGAGCCCGTTGCTGTGTAATATTCATTTTGTGCGAATAATCCTTGTTCCGTTCTTAAGGGCTTAAAAACATAATTAACTGGTTGTATGTCTTCTCAGATTGGTCCAACCATTGTCCAACAAGTTACCACCAGGATGGAGCATGGACATACTTCACACAGGTCATGTACTGCTCTCCCTGGGTTTCCTACATCTCTGCAGTTGCCTGTTTCCACACTGTTTGGGCCTCCTTGTGGCTCACTGTTCAGGTTTATCAGGTACTATTTTCCCTCAGTTTATGCTTAGAACTTTTCCCCGGATGATTTGCTCCCATGAAAACCTTGTGTCTGCTTTCCTTGACTGGCTTCTGTCACAGCAAGGAGCTTCTCTTAAATCTCAGGGCAGTACTTAAATGCACCCTGTTAAAAGCAGGATCACAGTCTGCAGATCATTCCTACAGTTGAGTTCTGGGTTTACTACTCATCAAAAATTCCAAACCTATAAAAAGTATTTAAAGAAAACAAATGTATTTAACAAATAGAACCGGTATTAGTGCCCCAAAAATGACACAAAAGTTCAATAGCACAATTAGTCCTGAGTTTAAAATTCAGTGGCAGAGCTCAACAGTGTGTCATTAGACATATTGCAACAATAAAAGTACATAACCTGGATTTTATCTTGTCAAATTTCTTGTTTATGTTTTTCTCAGAGAGAGCTTGGCTATGCAAAGAAAGAAAAGCTGTCCTAAAACATCTGGGAAACAGCTCGTTTAGCAGCTTTTAGGAAAGATGTCACTGAAATATGTGTTAAGCACACTGAGCTAAAGACTTGTCTTACATCTTGTTTAATAAAAAAAAAAAACAACTCCACAATTGAAATGTGTACTGCTAGATTCCTGCAGTATCCAAGTCACTGAGACACTGTGCTAGGGAAAAAAACCAGGATCTAGGAAGGATGTTTACAGTTAACTACTGTGTTTCCTACACAGTCATTTCTAAATGTACTGCTTTGTGATATTTAGTGTGTCATTCGGTGAAGGACCCTTGCAGCCATTTATGAGGGTTTATAAGATTCGTGTTGATTAAAAAATTTAAAAATGGAATAGGTAAGGAAAAATGCAGAAAAGAAATCAAAGTTCATTGTTGAAACTCAGTGAAAGAAAACACAGAGTCAAGAAAGGGGAAAAGTTATTGTTGAATCTCTACTATGTACTTCTTTTTTACTCAAGTATTTTGGCCTCTTTTCAGGGGATCTTTTTCTACTGTTTTGTGTGGTAGAATATAGACAAAATATGAGGAGATTGGTGCCTAACTGTGATGGATCTTAGACTTCTGCAGACTTGTGTGGAAGTGCAGTCTTTATAGACAGCCCAATTAAGCTTGCCTTGTCAGTGGAAGCATTCATGTTACAGCTTGCTGGGCTCTGTTTTAGCCTAAGTGACATTTAAAAACATACTTCTCAGTCATCAGTTATAGCAGTAATTACTTATTAGTTACATATGGCCAACCTCCTTTCTCATTAGTTTGCATCACCAGAATTTTGATTTGTGGTGTTCATGTTGTAACCATTACTTACATTTTCCTTTCACTAAGATTGCATTCTTGGGGCTGACCTCTCATGAAAGAATGAATCTCCTGATACAGAGAAAATCTTCTAAGCATCCTGTTTCACTCAGGAGAACTCCATACAAGTGGGTATTGATTAACAGAGTATTTTAAGTGATTTGCTTCACTGCTTTATAAATGCAAAAATATGGTGTGCTGGTCATGCCTGTTAAGAGTTGTGCTAAGAGGAGGAAGTGGACTTTGTTTTCCTTACTGAGAACTTCCTTTTCTCTAGGAAATAAACAACCAGCACAAGACCTGTGGGTTTTTTTGTGCATGACTGTGTGCACAGGAAAAAGATGTGCCAAAATCAGTCCATAGCACTAATCAGTAGACACTATTTTGGAGTGAGGGAGAGCTGTCCTTTAATTTGTTCATCAGTCTCTCTGTCTGTTGTGTAGGATCAGAAAGAGAACTAAGACATGAACTGGCCCCTTTACAACTTCTCTTGTAGTATTTAGAGAAATTGGTACCAAGGTTTCCCTGTTTCTTTGTTTCCTTATGTGTTAACAGATGGGATCTTACTAAGGACTAACTTTTAAATAGTTGAGTTCAACTTCATCTACTCTCATTTGTTAACATTAAACAGGTTGTAAAAGTTCAGCAAAGGAATAATGCTCAGTAGAGAACTGTGTAATTAAAAAAGCCCAACTCCACAATTTTAAATTTTTTTATACCTGAAGTACTGTCTTGTGGTGAATGTGTAGTTTTGATGCTTGCAGTCTTCTTTTTTTAGGTTTATTAATGCATATTTTTCTCCTTTTCAGTCTTGGATGCTTCCAGAATCTTGCAGACTTTTTTCAGTGCAGTTGCTTTGGTGTGTTCAAACCCAACATAATTGACTGGACCAAGCAATACAATGTTTTTCATCTGGCAAAGGAGAAAAATGTTCATTCTGTGTGAAGTTTTGCTTAATTTCTAAAATGGTTGAGCTGAAAGCTAAATAAAACTGTATATTTTGTTAATTTTTCCAAATTCTTCTGAAGTTGCTTGGTTTTATTATTGTTTCAAATATTAAACTTTATCTTGCATAAGCTACAGCAGGTTTGTATATGGAACAGTCATTGTGTGTCTGTGTGTATATGTAGTTTGAGCTGAAACTATTTAAAATTTTATGTGATGAGAGGACACTAAGAATATATTTTTTAAAACTAAGTTTTTAGGGCAGAATTTCAAAACCACATTGGTACCCTCTGCTTTATCCTTGCAGATAATAAGACAATTACATTTGAAAATTAAAGTGAATGTTCATATTTTAAAACTTCATGTTATGGTTATATTGTAATTTTGTTTCTTATGCTGTGAAAACCTCCATTAAGTCTTTGTATTTGAAAGGTTTACATGTAATAAAATAGAGCTTTCATACTTCTAAGTGCATTTTTGCAGACTGAAATAGATTCAAGGGGCATGTGACCAGTGAGGTTTTTAAGAGCAAGTAGGCACAAAACCATAAGAGAAAGCCTGACTCTGCCTTATGTTTTCCACGTATATGCCCTGTTAGTGTATGAAAATGGGTAAGTTCATGATGAAAAATAGCAAGATAAATAAAAAGAGGGAATTATTCCCAGCTGCATGCATAGATCTTTAATGGCTAATGTCGGCCAAGAAAAGGCTACAGTGTCAGTCTGGAAGGGCCACTTGGACACTGTGGTGTGAATATAACTCAAAGTTGGTAGCAATGAAAACCAACAGGGAAAGAGATCAAGGTCAGAAAATTAAATGCCGTCTAGAACTGACAACATAAGAGTCAAGTAGTGCGATGAAACACAATTCTTGTAGTGAAGAAATGGGAGATTTCATTTATCTTGAAATCTGCAACATTGTAGAATGTAAAAGCAGAAGCAAATTCAAATGGAAATAATGTGAAGCAGTAAGTACTTTATTGTAGCTTGAAAACAGACAGTAACAAAACTTACAACATTGCATTCTAGGAAAGTTTTGTTTTTCTTTGATAGAAAGAATTTCAAACCCTTTTTAATTGTCTCAAAGTGAATAACCTCTACCTTGTCACAACACAAAATGCCAACACGTTCAAAACACATCTAGGAGATTGGTAGGAATAGAGTAACATGGTGGACAAAGGAAAATACAGTCTAACTCGAACACTCAGACCCTGCACTCCATAAGGTATCTCTATGGGACACTAAGCTGAATCTAAAACTCCAATCTAAAATGTGCTAAATACTAGTTTAAGAAGCAATAATATTACACAAGGGTTTTTTGTCTTTGTTTACTGTAAAACAGACATGAACCTTCTTTTATCACTGTACCTTTTTAATCTAATCTAAGAATTTAAGGTATAAGCTCACAAATTCTTCCTGCAAGGTAGAAAATCTTGCCCAAATGCCCTATGTTCTTAGCAATATATGATGTTTAATGTTTTACTTGACAGCTATCACTTGGTGGCATCAACATCAATTAGAGACTGTTGCATCCACTTCTTCTCATTCACATTCTTTCTTTTCCACTTGAGTGAGGCCACCAAACCCAATTCCTTTGGGACCAAAATTTTTTGCATAGCAAACTGCAAAAGAAGGAGGGGAGGATAAATGTTTTTGAATTCTAAATGTTCTCAGGTAGGGGTAAATGTCTTTTGGTTTTAGTTTTTAGATCACTACCAAATTTAAGTTAATAAAAGGAAGGAAATCTGAAATAGCTTATTTCCCACAAATGTTGGCAGGTTTTAGTAGTGAAACTGAAATCACATATTTGAATTACACAAAAGTCACATCTGGTGATCTCAAAAAAATTAGGAAACTAACTGTAGATTTAAGATCTAAGTAATGTTTTTATTAAAGCTACTTTCCTGTCTGAAAATACTCGGTAAAACTTGGTCTGGTGAGTAATTCAGGCTGAGTAATGAGTCAGTAGTTTTCCAGGAGGTAAAAGAACTGGAGCATAGTTCTGAAACTATTGATGAGCATTTAAACCATTCCATTTGAACCGTGTATTGGTAAGTGTGTGCATAGTTTTTTATCACAGCTCTGCTAAGGAAGTAGTAATGGTCAGCATGTTTCTCCTGATGTGGTGATTTGATCACTTGTGGCTGACAAACTGTACCCAAAGTCACAGAACTTCAATATTCTTCTTTAGGGCTCTCTATAAAGTTTAGCTTGGGATATAAAACCTTGGCATATTTTTCCCCCATAAGGTGTTTCTGAGAGTCAAGTGAAGTCTGTGAACTTTCAGAATTTGAGAACATCTAGATGTATAATTTAGCATCAATGCATTATCTTCTGTGCTACCAATACAGTGGAAGTATCTTTAATTGTCAAGAATTCCAGATGACCTCTGCAGATCTGTATCTATGTGGATTTTTTATTTTAGTGAGTGAGATGGTGCAGGTACAAGAGCCTGCCCAGCAGAGATGGCCAATGTTCTGTTAAAAGATCTGAAGGTAGATCTGAGAGATATTTGTAGAAAAATTACAGCATTAAACTTTAAATGTTAATAGTATAAGCTGCAATTGCAATGTTACCACGGCTCTTTGCTTTGCTTTCAGAAAGTTGTTAAAAAAAAGATAAAATTAAATTTCCTGAAGTTGGTTTTCCTAGGTCTAAAGAGACTAATTTTAGATTGACTCAGTAACCCAGTTCAGCTCTCTGGAACTCTCACCTTTACAGTAGAGCTCTCCATCTTTGTCTGTAACATTCGTGGATTCTAAACTCTTCCCACAAATAGCGCAGCGGAAACACATCTTGTGCCAAGGCTGAGGAGATGAAGACAATTCATTGTATATTACAGAAAGTGCACAGGTACAAGAAATGAAGAACTACTGCTTTTTACAGTGTGAAAAGGTTAAAATCTTTTTGTTGATCTCGTGGCTTCCATTTTTAATCATTCCAGGTTAGTCTTATTTCAGTTACTTTATTGTGCCATGTGAAGAGTTACCGAGTGACTTTGTTATTGATGCACAGTTATTAATGGAGGTCTAGTAAAAAGCAGGGAGCAGGGAGTGCCCTTATTTTGGGCACTTCTTCAGTGTGCAGAGATCATATTCTAGTGGGAGTTCCTTGAGCAGAGAGCTTTGCATGTCATTTGAGAAAGGCTTCTGTTTTTCTAGTTACAGAATCTCTTTAATGTATCTGTAATTGCCACTACAAATAAATGTTTATACATATCCCCCAAAGGTGGAGGAAGAGCCAGGCTGTACAGTAGTCAGGGGTTGTTCTTCAGACATCAATAAGAAGGGAAAAGTTGGAGAAGGTTTACAAAAGGCACATGATTTTTAGACCTGAAAGTACATCCCACTCAAGCAATTTGCTGCTTCATGTTTTCTTCATCGAGACTATGAATGAAAATTTAAATGATCAAGGACCTATTAGCCACAGTTTATCACCATTATAAAACTATGTTTTGTTTCTAGTGCTGAAGTAACTACTTACTTTTCCTCCTCCCATGATCTTCTCTGCAGCATACACTGATTTGCCACAACGGGGACATTTATCCACGTCTACCATCTTTTTGGCAAACTTTGAAGCATTAGTTGGTGTAGAAGGGCGAGCAGGCTTTGGTGACCCCCTAAAACACAAGGTTTCAGTGCTTTTTAAATGCTGCTTCAAATGTTACCTACCTTAGAAAAAGTATTTAATGGGTTTTTTGGTAAGGGATGAAAAATACTGAATTGCCGTTCTCTGATGTGCAAACTGGGGATAAAAAAGGGGAAAATCAAAGTATTCTAGTGAATTCTGTGTTGTGTGATGGAAAAGCTGGTACTGTAAGCTCTGATGTTGCCTGTTCTGGGCTGAGTGCATAGAGTTGACAGCAGCCAAATGCAGAAAAGATTGCATTTAATGAAAAGTGAAAGTAAAAAACAACTTTGTTTTATGGAAAAGCAAGAGGGAAAATACAAGCAGAAGACCACTCTCCTTTATAACTGGCTGTCTGCTGTTACTCAATGAGTAGAAAATAAAAATACGTATTTTTGCATACAGATGTTTCATTAGGCAGTGAAACATTTGGACAAGGGAATTGGGGTTTTTACCTGGCCCAGGGTCAAAAGCACGTCAGAAAAGTAGCTTTGCTTTGTGTTTCTGGACATTGTGTATTATGAGTTTATGCTTAAAACCTTTCACAGAATGATTTCTGAATTACTGGATTGTTGGACTGCAACAGGTCATTATATCTACAGGATGTGACAGTTTTTGATGCAGAACTAATAATGGCTTCATATCGCACAAGGAGCCACATTTGAATACATTGTTTAAGCTTTTATTCCCTACATGGCATATTGGTTAATTGGTTTCCTTATAGTTATACCAGAAGGAAGCATTGCTGATTTGGAAATGTGCAGCTTTGAGAGTCATAAAAAAAAAATCCTGTAAAAATGTATTGTCAGAGCTAATTATGCGTTTTTGGAAGATGGTATCCCATTAGAATTCCTTTGTTCAAACACATTCTCAGTGTGTTTGTGAGTGCTATTAAAGCCACAGGAAGGATTTAGGAATGTTATTTCCCCCACTGAGAGGAGAGCTAGCAGTATGTGGTAGTGTGATTATTTCTCTAAGAGTAAAACCAAACTGGATTTTAGCCTCTGACAGGAAAAAAAAAATATATATTTTCTCGTTTTCTACAGTGAATGTGACTTTACCACTGTGCTACAAATGACAGCATACAATTGCAGTGGATATTTACAGCTGTGGTGGCATATAAAGGCTACTTCTGCACAATAATTGCCTATTGAAGGAGAAAATAATTTGTAAAGAAGGCTTAAAGAGACTGAGCATCATTAAAAACTGGTAAATTACTGTGTCCCTGGAAGGAAAGGGTGTAGGAAAGTCTGATCTGCTGCTTACGCTGGATGTTGTTATGGAAACAGAAGAAAATGTCTAAAATACCCTGCTAAGAGACAAGTAGGACCAGAGAAAGGTGCTGTCAGTAGGGTTTGACTCACTGTTGCAGGTTCAAGCCCAGGTGGTCACCAGTGTCAGTGCTGAGGCATCCAGCCCCCTGTCCAAAGCCAACACCTTTGGGACCGTATTTTCTCCCGTAACAGGTTTTGCAGTAGATTTCGGATTCGTGAGCTGCCACTGTGGTGCTGTCCAGAGCTTTCCTGCAGGCCACTGGATACAGGCAGAGAGAGGCATCTATCAACATTTGTGTTTTCAAAGTTGAATTCGTGTGGTTCAGAGTAGTTACATTTAGTGGTTATGTTTTGTTTACCTTTAAAAATATAGGAAAAGGAGTTGGTCAGTATACAACTTGACTGGGCTGTTCCTAAAATAGGTGTGTGCACACAACATGTTCCTCTTTTGCCTCTCTGAAGTTATACTGTAGCCCCAGGGAAATCATTGGCTTGTCAAGGCAATTTGTCTAGATCTGTGATGTTAAGATGGATTCGAGATAACAATCCTAAACTCCCAAACCTTAAAAAAGGGGGGAAAGGAGATTGCAGGGGTGTTGACTCCACTGAGCATCTGGACCTTTCAAAATATTCTTTCTGAGTCTGTGGTGGCTTTCTCAGCTCAGCCCAAGCTATTTTGATGACGTTTGTTTCTAAAAGAGGCTATAGTATAATACCATGTCCAGAGTCAGGTAGGATATGTTGGTTTGGGTTTTTTTTAATATTATTTGTTTGTTCAAGCTGTGGCACCAAGGCAAAGGAAGTAAATCTCAGCTCCATTAGACTTCCTCTGGGATGACAGGAGTATGACTAAAACCGTTCCCAAAACAGAGACCTCTTACAAGTCGTGTTTGTTACAGAGAAATATGGCTTGGCTTAGCTCACTAGGAAAGATCTGAGAGACTTTTGGACAGAAGATGCCATAGGAATGCCCAGCTTTCACCAGGGAATACAAGTTATGTCCTCTGCAGCACTACTTTAAACCAAGCCTCAACTTGGACGGACTAGAAGCTACTGAGTGCTAACAGCTGCTTATTTGGGGATCTTGGTAAGTGAGTATCTGTTTTGAGAAATACAAGGCACACCCAGAGCTAACTGGTGTTGCTGAGATGAGTTCCAAGTGTGGCTATTTTCATGGAGTGGGCATGGAAGCTCATTACTCTCTCACAGTTCTTTGCTTATCTGAAACCTGGTCAGCGTTTAGAGTTTAAATTCTGTTACTGGATCAGTGGATCCCCTTGGTGCTTATGCATAGAAATGGGACAATAATGAATGGAGAAAAAACCAGTAGCTACACTCCTCAGCTACTTGTCAGCTGCTTGTTCCACTCTGGGAGCTTGGTGTGAGAAAACCTCCACCCCACTGAGAGAGGAAGAAGCTCTCAATTCAGAGAGCCTGTAGAAAACCAGGATTTTCTAGGATGCTAAAAAATTAATATTTCTACACTTCTTACGAAGTCAACAGTGGTTGATAGAGGCAAAAGAAAAAAAAGCTAAAGCCTTCTCTCCAGCTTCCTTTGAGCAAGTACATGTCCTGCAGAGGGCATACCAGTCATGCATGAACTGTGGATAGCTTGGAAAATCAAGTTACTTAGTTCATGTATGCACCAGAAAGGTGTGAAATACAGAAGTATTGAAAGTGGCTGGAAGTGCAAGCTCTAGAGGAGCCAGCTGAGGGCTTGATTAGTCCCTTGCCCATCTGTTTATTTTAAGTATCCTCCTGTTGGTCAAATTCATCCACCTCAGGTAATTTAAGCCAATACTGGAATCTCTGCGGCTTTAATTATAGAATACCTGGAATGGTTTGGGTTGGAAGGGACTTTAAAGATCATCCAGTTCCAACCCCCTGCCATGGACAGAGACACCTTCTGCTAAAGTACTACTTATGTGTCCCCAGCCCTCTGCTTATCTTTGGCTTTCCTCCTCCCTGTACTGCATAGAGAGGAAAATGTTTTGCAAAGACCTTTATAGTTAATAGAGATAAAATGAAGGGCTTCTGTAAATGTGTGAATCTGATCTCCTCGTGCGACAGTCTCTTCTGCTTCGAGATGGTAATTAAGTTTGCTAAGGGAGTTAAGGGCCGATGGAAACTCTAGCAGCAGATAAAATGTTTCTATTTCTGGTACCTCAGGGATAGAGTATCAATTCACCACAACAGATGGAGCAGAAGCCCTTGAAGTGCTATTGTTGAAATAGCTTTGAGACCTGTCATTTGCCAACAGATCCTGGTCACCCTCTGGCACTGAGGAGACTCAGGTTGACAGTGTGAGATCCTGCCAAATGTCCCTCACAGCTGCAGTTTGAGTAAAACCTGACAGGGAAACAACAATCTGCAGGTAAAGAGCAGCATGGGAAGTAGAGATTGTTGGAAAGAGGTTTCTCTCTCATAATGTTTGTAGGGCAAAACTATGGAGCGAAGAGAGTGTGATTTATAGTTTAGCTTGTCTGATTCTTCCTGTGTTAACAGATTGCTTTGAATTGTTTATAATTTTGCTGAAATTGAACTCTTTGGTTGAAAACTACAGATCTGTTTTGTATGGTCAAATATTATGTAAAATATATGATATATTTGAAATATTTTTAATATTGAAATATAGAAAAGCTCAGCTAAACAGGTTAACTCTTTCCATACCTGAGGTTACATTGGGGAGGATTGGTTTCCTTCTGTCAAGAAATGAAATCCTATAATTGGTTCATAGAAAAGCCCATTAATGTGATACATGATCCTGAGGCATCCAGAGCTGCTGAATAGTGTGTGTGAATCACGGTAAAAGTAAAGCCAATTAACATACCTCTCATATGCCAGCTGGGCTTAGATGCATCTTTACTTTTTGACCTTAAACGTATTTCTTATGGGAATACTTTTTTTGGTATCTAACCTATTAATAAGTTAGCTCAGACTTACAACCACAAGGGGAAGATAAAGTAAAATAAAAAATCCACAACAAAATACACAACCAACCAACCAACCAAAAAAGCCACCAAAACAAACCAAACTGTTGACAGAATGTAACATATATATATTGTTTATCATGAACCACTTAAAAAAAAATCACTTATACTAAGAATGAAATTTAAACTTGATAAATATTATTAACTATGTTCTGTTAGGATAGATGCTTATTTTTATTAGTTTCTCTGATATTTAGTATTAATTGTTATAAGCAGAACATGGAAGCAATAAGAAGGCACTAGTTGAGACTGAGATTTTTTCTTTTACCTTTCTGTAAGAATTGGTTGAAAGTTGTCATATAACTGAAAAGCTTTTGAAGGAATTCTTTCTTATTCTGCCTTTTAGGCATCAATTGCAGGGCACTTGGAGAAAGCCAAGTAAACTCCAGTGTGTCCTTTGAACTTATTCTGCATTGACTGCACCATGTCAGCTAAGTGTGTTATAGCCTCATGCCTCAAATAAGAAGTCTCTTTCCATCTGGGAAAAGAGGGTGAAAAATTGGATTCAATGGCTTCAATGGAATTCATACTACAAAGGTACTAAATCTCAAGCATTGTCTGCAAAATAAACTCTTCATCTACTTTTAGTTCTTAGCAAATTGTTTGCTCTCCCTCCACAAAGGGCAAACAGAGCTGAACTGATACCTTCTCTCTGATTTTTTTTTTTAAGTGCTAACTCATCTGCAGAGAAAACAAGATTTCTGGAAGCCATCTGCCAAACATCACAGTTGAGTGTGGGAGGGAAAGAGCAAATGAAAGTGAACTACATGAAATATGGGGGGGGAAAGAGACTAAGGTAAGTGCAGAGTGTTGGTTGGAGGTTTTGATGCCCCCGGGTTGCTGTCTTCCAGCTTTTCTGTGTGAAATGGATTAATGTAAGGACTCACTGTCAAAGTAGTCATCTCCTCTAACAGCCTAATAAGACATCCTTCTGTCTGATGAGTGTTTGTTTAGTTCTGCTGGACTTTTTAACTTGAAGCAAACCTGTAATATGCCAAATTGTGGGACAGAGGGGAAGGGTATCTTGGAGGTGGGCCATGATACCATGATCCTGCAGCACTTGAGTGTCCCTAACAAAAACCATCTAATGCTTGGAAAGAGAAAAGCCAGGAGCCCAAGATGCAGATTGCTTGGGGTAAAGGGCTAGAAAACTGCCTGCAAAGTAATACAAAAGTAAATGTACTAGAATTGATGCAACATTTATACAGAACTATGGGGATGTTGTGAAGTTGAACCAGTGTAGCCCAGCTTACTGCAGAGGAAGCAGGACTTGTGGAAGCTCCTTCCATTGCACTGGATTTCCTCAGCGTGGTACACGGTCTTTTCACAGGCACCACATTTGGCTCCACCCCCCCAGTTTGGCATCCCTGTCTCTGAGAGGTAACCTAGAAAATCAAATTGCAAAGTGAATTATTTTAAACAGAACAGCTTGATTTTTTTAAAAAAAGTTATTATATTTTCCCCCCCTCTCCAGTCAATTGCTCTTGCATACTTGCAATGTACTACCCATGGGTGAAGGAGCTACCCTGGTGCTTTAGGGGCATGGACAGTCCAAATCCTCTGTCCTGTGTGACCTTCTCTTGTAAATAAGGCTATTCTTTAGCTTAGTATATTGTGATGGTAAATACGTGAAATGATTGTGAGGTGTATCAGTGAAAAAGTGCTAATACCACTGAAATTTCTTCTGGAGAAGTGGATCTAGGATTTATTTTCCATCAAATAGTCATTTACTTTTAGTCCTGCCCTCCTCTGTACCCCAGCGTAGCCTTTTCCCCTCAGTTTTTGCTTAGTGTGTGTTGATCTGATTTTTGAGGCAAATTTTAATGGAGGCTAGCAAATACTTTGGAGCTTTACTGGAGTGAAGCAAAAATCTGGACAGTATTTGGCATTAAATTTTCTACAGAACAGCTTCCTACCTTGACTCTCTGTTAACAGGTAGACTAGTTATACCTCTCCAAAGCAAGTGCTGCTTCATCCAGTACCCCATAAGCTGCCTTGGTCACACATTCTTTGCCAGTATGATATTTTTTTATACAATTCATACCTGGATAATTCCACCTTGAAGTTTAACAAGGGCACTTTAAGAGGACACATCAATAGAAACAAGTTGTTGCTTTTCTGAATTCCTCATGAGAATTCAGAAGGTCCCCAGCTGCAAGGTCCCTGTGCTGCACAGCCATCGCAAGGTAATAATACATAGGTTCCTAAGGTAGGTTTCTTTCTTTCTTTTTCAATTGTTTTTGAAATGTAAACATAAGGGAAAAGAAGAGCAGTGGTTGCTGTTGGTTGCTGTTGTAGTGACTGTTGAAGTGACTTGGCCAAGGTCACAGGAGGGCATTGTGAGGGGCAGGAGCCCAGCTCAGGTGGCCTGATGGCTCAGTGCCCTTCCTGATGATTGTGCTATCACACATCAGAAACAAGCCCAGCCCTCAGGCTGCCCTTCTGTTTTCTTGTTTGAGTCATCATTTCTGGAAAGACTGGGATGTCATCTTGTCACCTGCACATCATATTATCAAGCTCCTGGCACAGGCCTTCCTTCTCCTTCTTGGAAAACCAGTCACCTTCTTATTATAGTTATTTTGAAGCCTGCTTGTGCTATTTGTGTTTGATTAAATTCACCATAAGATACTTTCAACTAAGAAAAGGGTTTTGAACACTGAATCAGGCCTGCCACCTGAGAATTTTCTTCTAAGATCAAGTGAGAGATAGACGGGAGTTTAGAGTGCTGTAAGTCACAGTGGTGATGTAACATAAGCCAGTATTTTCAATTACTTGCATATTAGACTAATATTTTACTATATATTCACACTGGACACTAATGTCCCCTGCTTATCATCATCGTAGTGACTTCTGTTCTGTAATCTTCTGAATTTCAGAATGAAATGAACAATGTCTACGTGCCAGCTCTGCAGCCTGAAGGGAATTCTTTCTGACAACTAATACCAAAAATCCTACAATGGTATAAGAATCTGTCCAGCAAAAGGAAGGTGGCATGAGAGTGTGTGCACACACTGAAGCCATAGCACTGGAGACATGGCAATGTGAGCAGGTTTTACAGTCAGTGTTTGATAACAGTGCAGGTACCAGCACATCCAAACCTCTCTGCCTTAGCACAGCAATGATTAGTATCTCTTTAACCCCGTGTAATTAAATAGTCACTATTGTGACTGGTACCTGTGGTAGACAGCACACCTGTCATCCTCATGCAGGGTCCAATCTCCCCTCCTCTTTGTGAGGCTGAGTTGTGCTCAGCTGAACACCCTCCCCAGCTCAGTCAGCCCAGTCCTTTGCTGTAACACAGCAGCACCATCGTTAATCTCTTCCAGACCCTCTCAGCTCTCTTGGGAGGCTGCTCATGGACTGCTGTGGCAGTTCCAAAACAGTAATGATGCAAAAAGGAAAAGAAAACTCATCTTTCCTCTAATTCTGTTTATCTGGTGTAATGAGTAAGAAGCATAAACCTAATGTAGATGAAATAAGAAACAAAACTAATTGCATGCAAGAAACATATAGTGGATTTGATCCCTCTCACTCAGTGAAGCCTTTACTGAACAGCACTGCTAAATTCTTTTTTCATTTATTTTAAATGTGAGATAAAGGCACAGAGAGAAATCTTTCATGTAAATAGAATCTTATTCCACCATTCTATATTTTCTTCTATTTTTAAAGTACTTTCATATTGGTGCCATTTTCTCTTATGAAAATAGTTCAAGTGATGCTTCAAGTGTTTTAAAAGAAGGAAGAGAGACTGGGTATAACAATCAGTTTTGTGACACTTTCTTGAAAATTAAAATGAGATTTTTGTGTTCCCTTTCAAATCAGGTTTCCAGTGGAATCCCTTCCCAGCTGAGGCAGCACTGGTAGCTGCCAGGGAGGTTTGTACCTCTGGTCTCTGTAAAGCTATTTGTGCTGTGTTAGTTCCCCTCAAAGGCACACCAAGAATCTCTGTCTTTGGCAATGGGATAGTTGTTGGAAAGTAGCTCCAATTACATCATTAGCTGAAGGGGGGAAAATAATCTCTTAAAAAGTCTGATAATGTGTGATAGTGAACCTTGTGCTGTCAGGGGCCATGGTTAGAGCTCTCAGAAGAACCATTGTCCCTGAGGCTAATTATAGTAACATGACTGGGCATGCATACACATTTTCCATGTTTTCTTGGCATCACCTGATGGGAAGCTGTAGGAGGAAGAAGAAAGTCACAGTAAAACTACAAGGATGGCAGGGGAAGAACAGCCATGTGTGCCACGATGTCTGCACTGGCTGGAGTAACAGCTGGGTGAGGTACCAGGGCAGGTCCTGTCCTTGCTTTGATCATCTCTCTGGACACTGAACTGCAGTGCCATCCCTGTGGATGGTGCCTGTGCAAATAAAGTCCACAAGGTACATGGCATTCAGTGTTTTCTACTCGTCTAAATTATAAATGACGGATAAATCTCCATCTTCACAATGTACAAATAGAACTCAGTCTCCCACTTGTTATCAGAAAAAAATATACCCAAAATCTTCACATAATTTCATTAGATGTCAGTATCTAAATCCCCATGAAATTCCCTGAATTTAGTTGTCTTAATCTGATTAACTTGCAGTGTTTGCTCACCACATGGTGCTTACATTCTGGTGATCTAGTGGGAAGTAGAGTGGACTCATCCTAAATGTAATAAATGTGTTTATTTATTATTAAATAAACTTTTGAGTGTTAGTACTGCAACATGTAGGCGCACTCACGGTACTGTTAAACTGGAAGAGTGTTCTTGAACTTGCTCTGTTACTATTCAGCAGCTTGTATTGTTCCTCAAAATGCAGTTACTATATGGAGTAGAATTTATACACAAGATATGCAGCCAGGGATACGTGCCTCCCGTTATTTAGAGCTTATATCACAGCTATATGGGCCAGACTTGGAGCAAGGGAGCCTTTGAAGTGTTTGTGTGCTCTGCACAGGCATGAAAACATTGTGAGCCGTCTTCTTTTGGGCTCTTAGTCATACTGTACAAATCTAGGTGTCACATCACTGTCACAGAGTGTCTTACTCTAATCAAAGTGCTATTGATAAGAATATAACCCAAAAATATATTTAGATCCACTGATCTCAATGGGTGGTGGACACAGTACCGGCCTGATGCAGTTGTGTAGAGGAGTAAAATGTAGTGCAAGTGCCAGACAGTGCTGCAGGTGAAAAAAGTCTTGAAAGTAGTTTTGGTGCTTCCATTCTAAACACAAAGTTTTGCCTTTTACATGCTCATGTATTTGACAGTCTGGAGCTCAGGCCTTATCTGAACGGGCTGCAGAAGTTGTGTACTGTGTGGCTGGGAGGATTATCTCTGGTGCCACATATGCTACAGGATGGCTTTGAAGGGGATAAACAGAATGGGAAATATTGGTCTTTGTGAGCACTGGTAGTAGAATTGCTGAATGTGGACTGGTGGGTAGGATATGCCTTCCATCTCTCTCCATTTTAGTCTCAGCTACATGCTTGGTCTAGAATCAAAGAATACCAATGCCTTACCTAATGAATAAGCAGTAATGGTATCAAATCTAAATATCCCTGTCTACACTGACATACAAGTATTAAGGCTGCATTTGAAATTCTTTTCCCCACTGAAGTCTGTAGGAGATGCCAATGCAGCCAGGACTTCATTCTGGTATCTAATCACAGCTTTGCTGTGACCTGTCCTGTGACCACCAGTGACTCATTTGATGTCCTCAGTGTTACGCCCCCACAAGTACTGGGGGGGTAACGATATATCTCTTCCTTTATACAGTAGCAATAAAATGCTGCTCTAGTTTCTCTCTTTCACTGCAACTAACACTCATGGGGAGGTTTTATCTCTCTCTGTTGGTCTGCAGTGCAAGGCACAATTCCTTCCACTGCATCTCGAACAGCCTGAAGGTGTTTCTGTCGAAATCCAATCCCTTGCAGAACGAGTTCTCTCTCAGCAGGACAGATTCACAACAGAGGAAACATTTGTGTTTGAAAGTTGACCTCTTTTAATGAAGATGTGATATTGTTTATACTCCTACTTCTTCTGATTCATTCAGTGGACTTTGGATACAGGTAAATTTTAAGTTTATTAGTTAGGTGTCATACCTTGAGCTTCCACCATGATCTCATAATGATTAGCATTTTCCCTTCATTTCTGCAGTAAAGCAACACATAGAAATCAAGCGGTGGGAGTTCCGACACCGACACAAGAAAGTAAAAATTGATTTTGCATTGACACCGGTCACCCTAAGTTACACACTCCTTTTGAAACAAAAGATTTTAACTGGCATGATATGAGGCATGTGCTGTGTGTAGCTGATAGTTTCCCATTGCTTTCATCTCTGTTCTTCCAAATTATCTATTATTTTCTAGCATAGGGATGCCACATTTCTTTTGAAACTTCCTTGATTTACACTTTTGCAGAAATTTAAGTTTGCATCTCCAAAAAATATGGTATCCTGACAAGGTACTTCATTCATCCTACAAGTAGGACAAGGTACTTCATTCTGACTTAAAAACCAGTGACACCCCCCACTCACATATTTGTAAATATGTACTTAGAGTTCAGTTTGATCCATGTGGCTGTGGAAAGCTGCATCCTGCTGTACAAATGTCCCATTCCTTTTTTCAGACCTAATCCTGGGCTATCGGCTTTCACTTTTCATTCCATGAGATCCTTCTCTAAATCCTTTTCTGTGCACTAAGTCTTTTAAGTGCCAAGTAAAGCTATTACCTACTTTGAAATAGCACTGTGATGATTAAGACACAGAATTATTTTATCCACATACAAGCCCTATTCTTTGAAAAGCTTTGTACCTAAGGGTAAAATTATTTCAAAGGAAAAACATGTATTTATTTATTTACTTATTTAAATTATTGGGGCTTTTCTGAAGACTTGACCAATCACACTCTCTTGTAATGCTTGAGTGATGGATGTGGGAATAATTCTTTCATCCTGCATCCAGTTATCTAGCCATTTTCTTCCAAGTCTGCATAGAAGTTTTCTTCCTATTTGATATAAAACCAGCTGGTCACTAATACTAAATATTTTGAAGTTTTGGGGGATGCTGTTTTGGTTTTTTTACTTCTAAAATCCTATTAACTGAGAAATCATGAAAGCACCCAAATTTATATGCTTTGTACATATGCTTTTTAAAACCGAATCGTTTGTGGAAAAATAATTCAGTAGCTTTGAAACACAATTTTTAAGCACTTCTGAAAATTCTGTTATCCAGCCTTTCATAGTCAAAATGAGTGTCTGTAACGAGGATCCCCACAACTCTGTTCTTGCAACACCAGTAGCTACTCCCCAGGCTGAAAAGTCCAGAAGAATCTCTTATGAGGTGGCTACTCCAAACCTAAAATACTGCTCTCAGCTCTGCAGGAATCATGCTTCTGTACTATGCCTGCACATTTTTCTTTGTTAAGCAACCACCTATTAGGAAAAAATTGCCCAAACCCTTGTATCAGACAGTCTTGGCAGAACCCGCTGGACGCAACTTACCAGAGTTGCTTGAAGTGTCTCCCTCTTTCCTTAGGTCTCTAAGAGTTGGAACAGGAGGGTCCCTGCACTCCTTAAATGCAGTGACCACCACTGTCAGCCCTATAAGCTGGGAGGGGAGGGGAATGAGAGTTTCAGGGATCTGAGCAATGCCATTGCTATCACCAAGCTGAAAATAACCTCTGACAAAAGCCTGGCATTTTGTTCCCCCATGTCCACTTGTGAGTAGGTGGACAACAATGCAGCCCCTTGGATTACACCTAAAGGACATTCCTGACTGCAGCCTAACAGATCAGAAATAAAGATTAAAGTTTTATAGTTACTCTCCTGCATTGCTTAAATGTGAATCATGAAATAACAGTCCTTTGAAATGAGGATTTAGTTATTAATGGTCACATTGCCAATATTAAATTGTTAAAAATAATAATAAATCAAAACCTGTTTGCAGCACCCCCTGGAACACAACATTTGTAACCCAAAAAGCATTTAATTCTGTAGTTCATGATTTGATAGATACAACTAGTTTGCCTTCTAGGATACAGGGAATTATGCTTTTCAGTGTAATCTTTCATTTTTTTACTGTTTTTCGGCATTAAGATGGTTTGTTAATATGTATAATATTTAGTCTGTCTGATAACTGCAGTTATATTTGCCATGCCTGATCAGTCCCTTGGAAATGGATGATGCTACAGATGTGTTAGAGAGGTGAGCAATAAAGTATGAAGCACTTAAAATTCACTTTTTACAAGGTTTTATTTTACAGGCTTTAAAGCTTTAGATGCCAATTCTTATTTTCTATTGGGATGCCTGAATTTAGCAACTTTGTTTGGCATCATGGACTTCACTGTGTGTGAAAGGACCAAACCCTTTACAGCCCAGGGGTTAAACACCAGAACTCTGAAGCCAAAATTCTCAGGGAATTTCATGGGAGTGTAAGGAAATTAAATACCAAATCCACATCAGACTTTAGGATTTTAGGGGTCTGTTTGCTCAGGCTGCTATGCAAACTCTTAGGAGCCTATACATCCATTTGCTTTTGAGTCAGGCAAGGATTTTATAATGCAGAGACAGATCCTTGGTGTAAAGTTGAAGGACTGTATTTTCTTAAGCAGGAGAGCCATTTTTGGTCATTCCCCCTGAGTAGTTAATTGGACTCTTCTGCCTGTGTCAGATAATTCCAAATGCAGAGGGGACAGTGCAGTGTGTGTGGGATTGTGGCAGTTTGAGCCACATTAGAAATCTAAAAATCCAATTTCCAGGCTTCCCCCCACCCCTTCCCACAATTTATACTAACACTGGAGAGAAACTTTCAGGCCAGAGGCTTCTATAGGGGGAAGGGGAAGTATATACATTTATTTACACAAATAAATATACTGTACAACCAGTTATGGTGATCAATATGGCCAAGGCTGAGATGTTTCAGGGAGTCCTTGTATCTTTTCTTCGGGGCTCCTCTCATGCGGTAGCCAGTGGCAAGTTCACCATAGAGCAGGATCTTAGGGAGGCGGTGGTCCTTCATCCTTGAGACGTGCCCTGCCCAGCGCAGCTGCATTCTCAGTAACATGGCCTCAATACTTGTGACAGCTGCTTGCTCTAGAACAGGTGATTCATGTTAGGATGCCTAACATTTGAGAGTGCTGAACCTTCTGTAACCTTCACTCATGTTTTATATATCGTGTCCTTGGATGGATTTGCACCGTAACCAACTGCAGGGAAATCTGCAGAGAAAGATTTTGCCCCCAAAATATGTCTTTTCCCTTTGAATTTGGCAGAGTATTTAAGGGGAAAAATGCAGCTGAACAACCTTTAGTTTTCCTGGTGTTGGGTGTTGCTTAATTTCTGTACTACTGTGTGCCCCTGTGAGGAAGTGCATTGTTGAGAGGGTCTTAATAGCTCCAAGGAGCAGTTGGCATTTCATATAATCCCTGCTCAACTGTGATTAGCAGGACCCCGGATTGGAAGAACAGGCTTGCAACATGCAACTGGAGCTGCACATGCATGAACTGAGTCAAGGCAGGGATTAAGAAGCTCTGCTCAGAGAAGTGGAACTCAGTGAATCAAAAGCAAAGCAAGTCTGAGGAGTAGAGGAACTTTCCAGGAGGACATCAGGTGCTCAGGCCACGTTCAAAGGAAGGTGAGGCAGGTGGGAAAAGGGGTCCTTTGAGCAGCTTTTCAGCTTGCAAAATGAACAATCAAAAGGAAAGGTCCCAGCGAAAAAGCAACTGTAGTCACAGGAGGCAGGGGACACTGGACAGCATGTCAGAATGTATGCTCAGCTTTTCAGGATACAGCCATTTGTGAGACCCTTTCACCAACCCTAATTACTGTAGTTTCATTAGTCTGTCAAATGTGGTGTCTGAAAATGAAAGGTTTGGAGTTTGTTTCCTCTGAGTAATGCAAGTTTCTAAAACCTTTGCCTTTATATTTCTAGCATGAAATCAATAGCAGGTGTAAGGAAGATCAATCAGTTATCCCTTTGGAGAAGAAAAATCTATTCTCTGCTGCAGTGAGAATTCCTCCATCTTGCAGCTTTTATTCTTTTCTCCCTCTCATTTAGTATTTCCATAGTGATCGTATTCTGTTAGGTGTATTTTGTATTATAATTTTGCATTATTAAAAAGCAGCCCAGATAGTTTTACTGTGTTAGCTGTTTTGACTATGTTTTTTACCCCAGTCCAAGACTGAATCTTAGGCTTTGCTACCATTTCTCCTATCCTAATTTGGTCTGCCACCACATTTGACCTGGAAAAGCAGATACATTGTATTTTGATTTAATCTGTTAGTTATTCCTCGTTATCTGAGTGTGAGCTGAGTGAGGAGTCTTCATCTTTCTTCCTTCAGTGTAGAAGAGGTGCTGTATGTATTTAAATTTAAATTAATCATTTAAATTAAATGGTCTAACTTAACTTGTTTGAAATTTTTTTGACATTTGGACACACTTTCCATAAAGATACTCAGAATTCCTTACTTCATAACTATGTTTTCCTCTAACTGTTGTTGTTAGGAGCTATAATATCTTGTGACAAGAGTTCAGAAGTTACATCAAGTTATTTAAGTCCCTTTCTGATGAAATTCCTTTTTCCCCTTCCTTCAGAACACAGAGATGCCCTTATTTGGCAAAAAAAGAATGAAGATTCTTTGCCGGTGAATACAAAATGTATTACTTAACTCAGGTAATCTAATTTGATCAAACAGAAAAAGTCAATGCAGGGTTTTATGTAAGTTTAATCTGAACAAATTGATTTAAAAATACAGTATAAATAATTCTTAACTTATATAAAAATCGATTAAGAAAATTTGGGGAGATTTTTGCTTTTTTTACTAACTTTACAAAAGAGCATTATTAAACATAGAAGCAAAACATTTTAACTATGGCCTTTTTGTTAAGACATAAAATATGTACACACTCACAGTACTTTTTTTTTGGTGCAAAATAGGTACTGACTGATAGACTGTACCTTTCTGTACAAAGACAATTTCAGCTTACTTTGCATAGAAGAAAATCAACACACACACACAAAAAAACCCCACTAGATACATAACTTTGTTGTTAAAATACTTCAGGTAAGCCTTTTGGAAAAATTCATTAGGTATTAACTCTCATTAAGAGTTAATTTTATTTCTAAAGCATTAATTAAGGCTATTCCAGCATTTTGCCAATACATGTCCAAAATGTATTTTGGACAATGCCAGATGTGTGCAGTGTGTTAGCAGTAATTATGCCCATTAACACATTCAGCAATTCCATATCCCAAAATTAGTCTTCCAAAACTTCAAGTTTTCGTTGAGGAATATAAAGAGTTCCTTGAGAGATTCTCTCGGTACCATCTGAGTTTGTAGATAGCGAAGATCCAGAATTTGGGCCTCCTGGTGTGCGGAAAAAGCTTTCTGTAACTGCCTGAGGCTCCTGAGGTTCCTTTGGAGCAGAAGGCTGAAGAGAAAAAGTTACTTTCATTTAAGAGGAATAAAGGTGAATTCTAGCTCTAGGTTTCTGCAGGATGTTAGCAAACTCTTTCCCCCCCCCGAAATTTAAAAACTGAACAACTTTTTACAAAGAATTTACCTGTATTCCTTGATATAAATATATATAAATAAAGTAAATAAAAGTATGATTTTTCTAATCCCCTCCTAACTTTTTTTTTTAATACAAACAGATATTAGGCAATACAGTATTAAACAAAATATACAGGAAAACTTCCTGGAAGAAAAAAGTATGCTTTAAAGTCCTTTACAATCCTATTCTATGAAAAGAAAAAAAAGCGCTAATATTAAACAGAAGAACTTGCGAATATTAAGGAAGTAACAAGAAGGAAAGATAAAGTAACAAAGGGACAATTTTTTGATAAGCATAATTTCAGATCTATGCAAAATCCTCCCTCTAAAACAGTTGTCTCTTCACATCTTGTCATCTTCCAGGTGGCTCCACTTCCACAACAAATAAGTGACTTATCTTCCTTGCTAACCTCTCAGTTCTATCGTACTTAGGCTGGCCTTCACTGCTAGCTCTTTTTGGGCACTGCTGATTTCTAAAGATCAAAAGAAAATGTTTATTTAAAAACTTTACCTGCTGTAAAGGAATTGCTGCACTGTACTTCCCACTCAACCCACCATGGCCAAGGTGCAATATATTTGTACTTACCTTCCCTTCTTGCACATTCATGTTTCCTGAGCTGTGGCTGGTGTTTTCTGCTTGGGAAGAGACCGGCATGTGCTGAAGAACAGGATTTGCAGGAACTTGCACACCAGCAGGTAATAGTCCTATGTGTTGCAGCATGAAGTTCAGAGCTGAAGAACTTGGATTTTGGGCAGAACTGGCATTGTTTGAATTGAGACAGGAGTTGCTCAGTACAGGTGCAGCAGCTATGGAATTTGGTGACAGCATAATGTTCAAGGGTGTTATATGAAAAGCAGGAATGTTAACTGTTTTCAGCTCTGAGGCTGTCATTGGAATGACACCTGAAACAGAAACATCGAGTGTTGAAGGGGATCAAGAACTGAGGCTCAGGACATTGTGCTGTGACTTCATTAAGTCAGTAGGATGAATCTGGCCCGCAATTCCTTAAACCAGACAAGTCTACACCTGTTTTATTAAACACTCACCAGTAATGGGTGAGCTGTAGGTAGGGTGCTGTAAGGAACACATCCCAGCTTTCTCTTTATTGGAGCAGTCTGCCTTTGTGCCATGGGTGCAGTGAGTAAGAGGAATAAGATAACCAGAGGGAAAAAAAGTCTGACAAAGAAAAAGACGACACACCTTTAGCTCAAACATGTAATAAACAAAACCCAAATATGTTCTCCAAAGCTGCATCTCC